GCCGTCTGCGCGCAGCTCGAGCTCGGCGGCCTCGCATGTGCCCGTGTCCTCGAGCAACGGCGAGCCGCTACGCGCAATCACCAGCTTCTCCAGTTCCTCCTGAAGCTCACCCTCGTCCACCTCGTCGCGAACTTCCGCCACCTCGGCCACGAGCTCATCGAGCAGCGATGCAATCACCTTCTCGGGGTCCTCGCTCGCCATGCTGAACTTGGCGGCGGACTCGCGCGTCGCCTTGCGCTTCTCGTGCCAGCGCCGCTTTTCGTCGGCCGCGCGCTTCGCCCTGCGCTCCATCGGCGTCATCTTGTTGGCCTTGCGCTTCTCTGAAGCAGCGTGCGAGGCGGCGAGCTGATGCCCAGGCGCCTCCGGCTGCGCCTGCCGGATGACGCCGGCGCGCCTACGCGAGTGCTGCGCGGACGACGTCGTGGACGGCGCCGGAGCGCGCTCCTTGCCGAGGGGCACCATAGAGATGCGTGCTGGGTGGCGGCCAGACTCAAATGAAACGGAAAACCGGACACGGGGAAATATAAGGTAGGATACCAAACAACTCTTACACTCACACGTCATTTGGGGCCTGGAGCCCTGTTCACGCGCGCGCGAGACGTGCAGACAGGGTTGCCAGGTGAGAGCGAATGGCGCGGTTCACGCCTCGCACAACAGAGAGAGAGATGCGCTCTGCATGGTGGGACATAAAAGAAAGCGAGTACTTGGGCGAGTAGGCCGTGCGGTCGACGCTGCCGTGCGCGACTTTGCGCGCGAGGCGGCGCAGCTTGAGAACGGCGGTGGGCGAGAAGCCGCCGCCGAACGTCTCGTGGAGCAGCAGGTTGAAGTTGTTGCGCTTGACAAAGATCGCGTCGTGGTAGAAACCGCGATGCGCCTTGACGTAGCCGTGGCCGGTCTTGTGGGAGAAGGGTTGGCCGGGCTGCCCGCGCGCCTTGCAGCCCATGTTTAGGCGGCGGGCCTTCTCTTCGGTGTTACCAAAGGCGTAGGAGTGGCCAACGGAGGCGGGCGTGCCGACGCTCGAGGCGTTGCCAACGCCCGC